AACAAAATCTTGTGTCGTAAACATTTTGCATGGCGATCGCAAAAAAGGCAGAATTGATCTTCACTTGTTTTTGGTGTTACTTCCAGACTTGGTCTTTACCGCTTTTGTTGTAGAAAGTTTTGGTGATAAAAGATCAGGGCCCTCTGGATCTTGAACTGAATCAGGTGACAACCTCTTTGAAGGGGTGTTGGAAATGTTGGCTTCGGGGCTCCAATTATGTGCTGCAAATGTAGTTGTCTGAAACATATGCAATAATGTATGTTAGTGTGTTCAAAATGATCGTATAAGAAGGTTTCATTAGCTTAAATGAGGAATGCATAAAGACTTACTTTGGAATGAGTAACATTAGTATGTGTGTTTACAGCATTGTTGCCTTTCAGGCAGAGTACGACCTTTCCCTTAGGAGATTCATCCTTGTTGGTGATGGTTAGACAAGCCTAAAAGCAAGTGCGCAATATGTTAGCATATTGGACTTACAAAAATAAATTGATTTGTATTGTTAATTTGCATACCTGAGTAGGTGTAATAACTTCTTCTATCTACCGCATCACCTCATGATCTTGAGTTAGTCTAACTACAGATGCTTGTTTGTAGTAAGGCTGGTATTTAGCACGAAAAGAAAAGTCTTTGTCCAACAGATGGTCAAGGTGTTCGGGATAAATCAGAGGATGGTCCTCATTAGTCTATGATGTATAATGCAATAAGTATAAGTAAGAGTTGTCATGTATAATATTGAGTAATATGCAATATGTACAATGATGGAAATTAGGATTTGCAGCTTGTATTGTCAAAGACTTTTGTAAATATAGAATGAGGCTTTAGTAAATCAGAAGTAAGACTGGAGTATTACAGGCTGAAGTAAATAGTAAAGCTGAAGTAAATAGAATTATATGATCATATAAGAGAAAACCATGATATGTTTAAAAATCTTTTACATTGGATTGAAGATTTATTTCATAACAGAAGCCAAATAGGCAGATCAGATAAGACTTATTCATGATTAGAATTAAAATAATGGGATGACTAGAATGTAATAGTTTGGTTGCAAATATAGTTTCTTCCAGCAGCAATATGGTGAAATGTAAATTTCAGATGGCAATGAATTATAGTATGAGCACATTTGATGTAAAATAAAAAGTATAGTTTGGTTGACAAAACAGTTTGTACCAAGAGCAGTATTTTCAAATGTATATTTCAGATGCCAATGGTGATGTAAAGTACAAATCTTTTTCATTATCAGTCTTAGTGTATGAGCCGACATGCCAACATAAGGAATACACTCCTTGTCCCAAAACACAAAATTAGCAGTCTTGGATTCGTGTTTGACCTCAATCTCAATTTTATACCTATACGGAGGGACATAAATAATAATAAGGTATACTACAAATATCTTTCATTGATATTGCATAAAATCTAAAATATGACAATGTTGTTTAACGAAGCTTACTTAGTTATCGGGGTTGAACTATTATCAGAACAGTTGCATTGGAATGGGGAGCCTGGAGATTGGTTGGTTTTGTTACAAGTTTGACACAACTCATAATACCAGCCAAAAGGGTTAGCCTTGAACCACACTGTCTTTCCAACCGTATTGTAGAAGGTTTCCTACATAAAGTAAAATAGTGATTACAATACATGGATAGAAAAAATATAGTAGCCGTCAGGTGAAGAAAATAAAATGCCAAAAAGGTAACAAACTTCAGTAAGAGTTGTGATCTCAGCAATGCTTTTAACTTCCTTGATGAATAAGAAATCCATGTCGTCGCTTGCTCCTTGTGAACATGAATTAATGGAAATTGACTGGGTAGCTGCTTGATCTTGATTACCTTCCAGAAATCTGTGATATACACAAGTTTCCATCAAAATTATATAGTAAGGATATTAACATCACATTATTAATAGACAAATGATATCATATTACTATACTTTGTTTTGAACTCCTCAACTTGTGGGTGGTCAAGGTTCAGAAGTAGTCTTGAGTCGTTGACAACACGACATTTTGACGAAAATAGTTTTACAAAACCTGAGCTCTGACAACACCATGCGTGAGTAAGGATGGGGAACACATGTCCATTTTTAGCAGCATAATTCATAAACTGGTTTGCATATGCTTCCCATAGAGTAACATCCATTTCAGCCCCACTACAAATACAAGTATAAATCAATGTTGCTTTGAAAACCTAATCTGTATAAATTAGTTGAAGTAAAAAAGTAATGTAAAATTAAAGTAAGAGACCATTCATCAGATAATGTGAGGTTTACGCATGCCTTTTTTCTAGCACCTGATACTTGAGTTCTAACAACTTGCTGGACTGCACCTATTACATCTGAAAGCAATATCATTGAAGGTTAGAATGGTGACAATAAATAAACAAACTTTATTAAGAAGAGAGTAGGACATTAAATACCGTAAAGGTGATCAACAATGAAATTTCCATTTTGGAAATCAGTAAAGGACTTAAAGTAGAAGTTATGTTGTGGAATGTCTGGTATGTCAACAACGGTGATAGTTATGGAATGATTAAAAAACAGCTTGTATTTGTTATCACAAACTTTCATAGACATGTCATACAACATTGTTTCACTGTTATAGACCATGTAGGTTTGGTTTTACTGCAAGTTATTCTTCCAAACATCAAGGTCACAGGAGCAGGTTACAACATGGATCTGCTCAGTCTGTAAGTGAAAAATATTGAAACAATGTATAAAACTTTCGCACATTCAGGTTTAACACATACGATATAAACAATGAAAAATACCTTTGCATCTTGAATAATAGCTTCGAGATGCTGCTGGTCATTGCGTTCCTTGAAGTTCCAGACATTGACCACACGAATAGTTATTTTCCATAGTTTTGTTCAGGTTTCAGGTCACAAATCATAATAGGTGGTCACGACATGGTTGATCGGTAAACTGAAAAATAAACCAGATTTACATGATAATGAAACCTTTATAAAAATCAAATCGTTATAAAACTGAAAAGTGAAAAAAAAAACATTTATAAAAATCAAACCTTTATAAAACTGAAAACTGGAAAAAAATGTTAATCAAACCTTTATAAAAATAAAACCTATATAAAAATCAAACCTTTATATAACTCTTAGCTTTATAACAAATAAATCAAAGTTTCTAACATCCTAACAAATGTGTTACACACTCACAGATATAAACATACAAAAATATAGACAAGTAGAAACATGAAAATATAATCAGACAAGTCAAAACATGAAAAGAAGATGAACATGTTAGCACGATATTGAAAGATAAAAATATAAAAAGGTCATTAGAAATTAAAACCCAGACAAGAAGATTATAAAAAACAAACCTTATAAATGGTGAAACTTTACAAAAATCAGAACTTTATAAATGGCACAACTTTAGAAATCTCATAACTTTGTTAAATCAACTCAGAATCGTGGCAATAAAACATGATGAATAGCAAGAATATTGATGTGTTACCTGTGGAAGGAGGTTGGAAAGAGAGAAGAAGAAGTCGAAAATGTTCTGGCCAGAAATATATGGAGAGAGATTAGGGAGAAAACATGAAGTGAAGAATGAGAGGGAAGGGTGTTTTGTAAAGGGGTATTCGAATGGTGCATGGAGATGTCTATCGGGTAAAGCATAGTTTCAGTAAAGATGAAGGGAAACCTAATGGTTAATGTTGTATTAGCAAAGAATAAATAGAAATGTTGGGAAAAGGGTGTCACTTGGAGGAATGATTAAATGTGATTGATGGAGGTTGAAACTGATTTGGCAAATTACCATCAAGTGCAATTCTTAGTGCAATTAAATTATGAAATAAGGGTAATTTAGGATGTTTAGTGGCATGTTATTTTCTTAGTTAGGCGGTTGATTGTATTTTCTAACAAATACTATTATTTTATTGTTTTCTCACAAACATTAATGCGAATTTGAATACACCAATAATTGATAAGGATAATTTGATAAAATCATTATTCTCTTTTATTTATTATAATTTTTTAATATGCGTGAAAGTTTCAACTATGATAATTATTTTGGGATAGAAGAAGTATTTACTATTCTCTCTAACTTTACTTATAAGCAAAAGTCTTCAAAAAAAATTAACCTTAAATATAAATAAATGTCAATAAATTTAGTTACATTTATTCTAAAATTATTCATGCATTAATTATTTTATATTGTTATAGATGACAATTTAATTAAGAGTATATTAGTAATTGTGTTATATTTTTTTACATGAAATCAAAAATATTAAATACACTTAACTATCATTCTTAATAAATGTAAAAATTATCTTTTATATTTATAAATCAGATGAGAGTTGTATATATATTTTTTTAATTTTGCTTTCTGTATTTATATTTAGACTTGAAAATCTTCTAAAAAGAGTTGGCCAAAGAATTGTGTTAGTTGCATATGTCTAATTTATTGTTAAGAAAATTTCAAAAACACAAAAAATAGAAAGTCAAACCTAGTAAATGTCATCATCAACAAAGAAAACTTGCATTGTCTAATATATTTGCACATGATTTTCTCTCTATAAAGATAGGAGACATATTGAATCTAAATAAACTATCTTGTATAAAATATTATTTTCTTAACATTTTATTATTTAAAAATCAAATTATATATTATTTTTCTTAATTTCATTTTGATTCTTTAAAATTTTAAATTAATATGTGATTTTAAAATTTTACTTTATATGACAAATCATAAATATAAAACTGTTGCTAACATTTGATATACCAACCATCTTCTCTCTTTTAATTCCTTAATACTATTTTGACAAAATTATTAGTTACTCTTTCTTCTATTTTTGGTAATGAATACACTAATTTTGGGCCAATGCTTCTATCATTCGTAACTACCACGTATGAAAACAAACATTATGGTTTATCATAACAAAATATTTTCCGCACATTTCTATATAGTTTGTGCATCTCAATATCCAAAACCATTTTGAAACTCATCGATCAATCAAGTTTCTAGATCTCCATTTTCATTCCATTTAGGTGGAAATGGAATTCTTCCAAAAGGCTAAAGTGGTGCGTTTAAGAAGCCACCATGATAAATACTTGTTGGCAGATGATGATCAAGAAGGTGTTCACCAAGATCGTCTTGGTTGCTGCCGACAAGCAAAGTGGACGGTGGAGATCATAGAACATGCAAACTTGATTAGATTGAAGAGTGTTTTCGGAAAATATTTAACAGCTTCCAATATGCCGTTTTTGTTAGGTGCAAAGGGGAAGAAAGTGATGCAAACGCTTCCCTCAAGGTTGAATTCATCTTTGGAATGGGAACCTTTAAGAGAAGGTGATCACATTAGGCTTAGGACTCGTTATGGTCAATATTTACGCGCCAATGGAGGATTACCGCCTTGGAGAAACTCGATCACACATGACATTCCATACCGTTCAAAAACAACTAATTGGGTTCTATGGGAGGTGGATCTTGTCGAGATTCTGCCACCACCACCTAAACAAATAGAAAATTCCACGCCTATTGTTGTTGAAGACGTTGTCTGTCCTATTGACTCTTCATCTGATCCTTCTTCTTCTCCTCCACATTCTCCTCCTCATGATCATTCAAATAATGATAATCCATTCTCTTTAATTGATTTTAATTCTTCCATACCAATCGAGGTTTGTTTTTATCTATAAAATTTAATTTGACATTTGACATTTGACATTTGACACATTCTTTTTAAAGTTATGTCTTATGCCTCAAATTTTCTAGACACAACATCATGAAATTTTAGAACTAAAGATGCATATACTAAAATTTATGATAACTAATTTTATTAAATTCAATTTTCAAATGCAGAGTTTTAACTTAGAAGATAATGGATCACCGATAAAAGAAGGGAGGATTATATTTTATAACGAGGGTGATGAAAATGGCGATGTTCCCGAAGGAAGCGAAGAAAAGTATTTTACTTTCAAAGGAAGTAGTGTAATTGAGTTAAAGGAGAAGTTGCGAGAAGAAATAGAACGCGATGATTTTGTTGTATGTTCTCGCAATCCATTGAATGCAAAAGTATATCCACTTCGTTTGCAATTACCTCCCAACAATGTTGATATGCATGTAATCCTGCTTCCTTCTTCATTTCTGGGTAATTAGTATTCTCGACTTTTGGTTACTCCTTCTAAATTATAACTTCCATTTTAGTTTACTATAAACTAAGAGCAAGTTTTGTTGGAATTTTTCACGTCGGTTCTTCTATCGATGTAAAAAGTGTCAAAATACTACATCGGTTTTGGAACGCGTGTGAAAAGAAAATGATGGGATCCACAAGCCCTTTGGTGGAAAGAAAATTCGGAATTCATGATGCAAATATATTCAGGAGAGAAATTTGGCTCTCTAACTTGATGGTCTATACTGAACCTTATGTATCCAAATTTTTTAAAAAAGAACAAAAATAGTGAAAAAAAGGATAAAAAAGAAAACAATTGCAACAATGTAAAAAGCTTATAAAGTCAAAGTCCTCATTGTATATATGCAACTATGTAATGTCTTAGAAGAAAGTACTATGAAGGATTTTGTTATCATTATCGTTTTATCTTATCATTATCATTTTATCTTATCTCAATCAAGATGACTATTTGGTCTATGAAAATTTTATATTTATTAAAGTTCTTTATTTTTTACTTGTCATTTAAATTTTTTTAATTTTATCTTGAATAAAATATTTTATAAATTTATATCATTTAATAAATTTTTATATTTTTTATTCAAACAATAAAATTTAAACTAATCATTTTAAATTCTCTAAAAATTATTTTCTATTATTAAAATATTTCATCCAAACACACTATAAAGATTTATAATGATAAAATGAGAATCCAAACTCTATTACTTAAATTATCTTAAAATTGTCATTTGATTACTAGTATATATTGACTTTTTTTATAAATATATAAAAGGTAGCAGATTGAGTTATTATTATTAAAGTGACACAAATAATTATTGCTAACTTTTTTATATGTATGAGTTTTGGTTTTGGCCGGGTATTAATATTCTTAAATAAAATTTATATAAAAGTTTAATTTATTTTAAAATAAATTTATAAAATAATAATATGGTATTAGATGTTTGATTGGTTGGATATGTATTGTATACAACCAAAACCATTTAAAAAAAAAAGTCAAAATAGATATGTATATATGGTTATATATAAAGCCAAAACATTTTTGGTGTAGTCTATTTTTATTTTAGTTATATATTTTAAAGTTGTTTTTAACCTCAATTTCTCTTTATTAACTGTTATATATCAGTTTTTATATCTCTTTAATTTTACTTTTTAAATTATTTTATAAATGATTAATGTTAAAGTATATGAAAATATGAAAGTAATGATATTTGTTTATGAATTTGAAATTATTGGAGTCAAGATTGATGATAGAGATAAATATTAGAGACTCATGAGGTCTCTTCTATATTCTTATGAGCATATTAAATCTGTTTTGGTATATGAGAAAGAAATTTTGAGTTTTGAAGAAATTGATAGTAAAATTATTTCTAAAGAAAGAATGTTGAAGGGTAAAGATAATAATTCATCAAACTCAATGTTGATTGTTAAAGGAAGGCCTTATGTGAAGAAAAACAATGAAATGAGTGTGAGATGGTGAAAATATGGAATTATTCGGCATGTAAAGTATAATTGTCCTAACGGGGAAGTGTCAGACAAGGGTTTTGAATCAAATACTAGCAATGTCTCCGTCACTATGTGAGATGATGATCTTTTTCTGAATATTGAGATGTGTCCTTTCCTATGTGGAGAATAGCTCAAATATGTTAGACCATTTTTGTCTCACTTATCCTAAGTGTGGATATGATCTTTTTTAGGGTTGTGTGTGTGTGTGTGTGTGTGTGTGTGTGTGTGTGTGTGTGTGTGTGTGTGTGTGTGTGTGTGTGTGTCTGTGTGTCTGTGTGTGTGTGTGTGTGTGTGTGAGAGAGAGAGAGAGAGAGAGAGAGAGAGAGAGAGAGAGAGAGAGAGAGAGAGAGAGAGAGAGAGAGAGAGAGAGAGAGAGAGAGAGAGAGATCAACCTCAAAATAGAGAAAACAATTCCCATTTTCTTGCAAACAGTTTCAATAAAATATCGATTTCATATTCATTAACAATTGGATAAGGCTCAATTTTAGAGTGCAGGTCCGCAACACTTGTGCCTATCTTTTGAGTGTTCGAATATTTTAAAAGAAGTACATGCTAAGAGATATTGGCTTTGCACCAAAGGTGTGTTTTTGGGTAATTTTGATCTTCTGGTTTCTTATTTGTAAGCTTGTTTGCTTTGTAGTTTGGGTGTTGTTAGCAATAGTTTGTGCATCACTTTGAGACTCTCACTACTAAAAAAATGACATTTGAGAAAAGGTTTTTACATCAGACATAAAAATATAAGATGTAAAAAATTAAATTAAAAACATTTTACACCAGGTATTTATTTGCAATGATATAAATAATATGAAAAAAAAATGTTTTTTGCTATCTATTACATCGGGCCATTTAATCCATCGATGTAAAAGGTTTCGGGAAAAAAATACGGTGGCAGTTTTGTAAATAACAAACTAGGTGGCAGAATTGTAAATAAAAAACTGGTCAGATATTACATCGGTTCCTGCAATCCATCGATGTAAAAAAGTCTGTGGTAGATTGGTAATATAAAAAATAGGCTAACCCTTACATCGGGCCATTTATTCCACCGATGTAAAAAACATCAAAAACCTTACATCGGGCCTTTGTTAAACCGATGTAAAAAACATCAGCGTCCGAACCCTTACATCGGGCCACTGCTTGCACCAATGTAAAAAACATAACCGCCCGAACCCTTACATCGGGCCAATGCTTGCACCGATGTAAAAACTAATATATATAATGTTGAAATAACCCCTAAATGCGAATTATTTCGTCACTGTTCAACTTCTCCGTCCCACGAATGCACCCTTGTCGCTACTCCGCCCGTCTCGCCTACACTGTTCCGCCCGTCTCGCCTACGCCGCTCCGCCCGTCTCGCCTACGCCACTCCTCACAGATCCGCCTTCTCCTCGCAGATCCGCCGCCGGCTGCACGAAGACGGAGGCGTTTCGCCGTCCATTCGTCGTCTTCGAAACATCCTCCGCCGTCCAACTACGATTCCGGTACGAAACTTTCTATTTTGTTCAACTTCATTGTATATCTAGGTTGGTTGAAAGTTTATATAGAATTATTTCCAAGATGTTGGCTTCTAGGTTGAAGAGGGTCATGGGTAAGTTGATATCTCAATGTCAAGCAACTTTTATATTCCAAAGACAAACATTGGTGTTTTAGTTTCTAAGAGTTATATATACAAAAAAGTTTTTAAGATATTCTTGTTTCTTTGTTTGTTACTGAGATTCATTATAAAAAATTAGAAGTACATAGAAAAATAATTAGAAGATTATACTATGAATCCATTACTTTGTTCATATATGTTTTTTAATTACTAAACAATTTATTATTATTAGAGAGGTTAATTAAGTCTAATTAGTTATAAATAGTATATATTTTGTATAAAGTTAAGAATATAGTACATGTTCTGTATAATTAGTCATTCTTTTTCATTAGAGAAATTGTCTATTTAGAAACCTCCGAAAAAAGCATTAATGGTCCTCTCAGAAACACACAGTTTATCTTTAACCTATCAAACTTAATAGAGTTATCACCTTGCCATTGAAATTTGATTCTATTTTTCTTTCTCCACGAAGCAGCGCAACTTGCAATCTCGGAATCTCCGTGAATTAGCGCAGCCGCAGGCACACCCTTCGTCAGACCTTCCTCCGTGTGAACATAGTTATGGATCGTAGTTGGATGAGAGCTAATCTATTAAGTGACGAGTACGAACATGGAGTGATGGAATTTCTACAGTTTGCTGAAAGTAATGCTGAAAAAAGTCTTCCTACGCTTTTTCTCTGTCCATGTGTTCGTTGTGCAAATAAAGAACCAAAACGTAGTAAGAAAGAAATCATGGATCATCTAATTTGTGTAGGGATTTGTCAAAGTTATACAGAATGGATATGGCACGGTGAAGTAGTAGCAAAGTCAAACGTGTCTCAAAGAGATGATGTTAGTGTAGAAATGGATGATCGTCTAGAAGACATGATGTGTGATATTGGACAAGATTCGTTTAAGAGGGCACATACGTATGATACTATATGCAGTGACAAGGATAAACCATTGTACCCGGGATGCAAAAAATTTACACGTCTGTCAGCCGTGTTAAAATTATTTAATCTGAAGGCAAAGAATGGGTTGGCTGACAAAAGTTTTACCGAGTTGCTTGAATTGTTGACCGAAATGCTTCCAGAAGGTAGTGTAATGCCAAGTCGTTATTACGAAGCGAAGAAAATATTGTGCCCGATGGGTTTGGAGTATGAAAAGATACATGCATTCTCTAATGATTGCATATTATACATAAAAGAGTATGTAAACTATAATCACTGTCCTAAGTGCAAGGCTTCACGCTACAAAAAGAAAGATGGTGAATCAATTGATGATGAGGTGGTCAAAAAGGGTCCTCCTGCGAAAGTGGTATGGTACCTACCAATAATTTCAAGGTTCAATAGATTATTCGCCAATGCAGATGATGCAAAGAATATTAGATGGCATGCAGAAGAAAGAAAATATGATGGACAAATTCGTCATGTAGCTGATTCTTTGCAATGGAAGAAAATAGATTCTTTGTTTCCAAATTTTGGAAAAGAGTCGAGAAACCTTAGACTTGGACTTGCTACTGATGGAATGAATTCGTTTTGTAATCTGAGTACTAACCATAGTTCTTGGCCCGTTCTCCTGATGATTTATAACCTATCTCCTCGGTTGTGCATGAAGCGTAAATATATTATGTTATCGATGATGATATTGGGCCCAAAACAACCAGGAAATGACATAGACGTTTATCTAAGTCCACTGATTGATGATTTAAGAGTGTTGTGGGAGGAAGGGGTGGATGTTTTTTATGCATATTCTGGCGAACAGTTCAATATGCGTGCCATGTTGTTTTGCACCATCAACGATTTTCCGGCATATGGTAATTTGTCTGGGTATAAAGTTAAAGGGCATAAGGTGTGTCCTATATGTGAAAAAGACACATGTTACCATCAGCTCGAAAAAGGAAAGAAGACCGTTTATCTCAGGCATCGAAAATTTCTAAAATGTTATCATTCATATCGTAGATTGTGGAAAGCTTTTAATGGGGAACAAGAGCATGGTGTTGCTCCAAAGCCCTTGTCTGGAGAGGAAGTTTGTCAGCGACAACAGGGACTTGATGTTG